TAATTTCAATTGAACGAGTTATTGATAAAAAATTTCACTTTTTTCAACGTGTGTATTAGACTGATGCAAAATTTGACTTTTTCGCTCCACAGTGCTTAAATGGTTTCAAATCGGGTCCTGATTAGCCTCCCAAAGTTACAACTCATTTGGTTAGAAACAGACTTCACACAAGCCATTTGAAGTTTACATGTAAATTACTATGGGAAATCCCAACTTTTTGTTCATTGTGTTCTAGTGTTTTTCCATATTGAGCTGCGAAACAGCTCAACAGCCATTCTTATAGAAATTTTTTTCAGTTACAACTTTGCTGAAGATCGTTTCTATGTAAAACAAGTCAGGGAAAAGTTAATAATTATTTAAAAGATTGGTAAACTTATGACATGATCAAGCAGCTGCTCTGTAGGCAACACTGTATTTTGCAGTGTGACATAGTAGCCATGATTTTTTGTGTCATATTTAACGCCCCGGAAACACCAATGTTGCCTGCTGAGCAGTTGATTGAGCATGATCATAAGACATCAGCGCATTGGACCATTGATAACTTTCGATTCTTGCATTTAATCAAAAAGTGGTGGTTGTAGCTGGGAAAATTTCCTACAAGTACAGTTGAAAACTTTTGAAGCAAGCCTATATGGTGAATTATAAGATAGACATGAACAAAAATCTTGGTTTTACCATAGTAATTCCCATATAAACTTCAAATGGTTTGTGCCATCTCAGTTTCTCACCAAATGGGTTCAAATTTTGAGAGGTTATTCAGGATCCGATTTGGAATAGATTAAGTATTGTGGAGCGAAAGTTTCAAATTTTGCATCACTCTAGTGTGTATCTTTCCTAGATGCATGAATCAGCAGATTCGGTTAGCTGCATCTGAAACTACATCAAAAGCGCTTTCAAGTGGTGGTAGGCTTGTCAGTCTACAACCGTCTGCTGGAGAGTTGTGCTCATAACAAATTTCCATGTATTTGCCCTATTGTGATCAACCTATTTTTTTTAATGTCATCATTATTTTATAAAGATTTTTCATTATTATTTTTATCATAATTTTTAACTCTTCAAGCATCAAACATAAAATGAACTCGATATTTTTGATTCAAAATGATTTATCTCGGATTCCATTTATCCGTTTTCTAATGTTTTATACCGTTGGAAGGTTATTTCCTTAACTTTTCGTCAATACGTACTAATGGTCACGCTATATAATTTTTTTAATGGACCGTAAAATTGAGATTATCTAACCTCTCTGAGATTATCTCAAATTTCCAGAGATCAGTACTCATTCAGTACTGCAATTAAATATTCGACTATGTAGCATTGTACTTGGCCTCCCTTAGCTCAGTCGGTGAAGGCACAGCTACAAAGTAAAACCATGCTGAAGGTGACTGGGTTTGATTCCCGGTCCGGTCTAGGAATTCTTCGGGTTGGAAAATTTCTCGACTTCCTTGGGCATAGAGTATGATCGTACTTGCCACACAATTATACTAATGCAAAAATGGTACAGACATCGAAAACTCCCAATTAATAACTGTGGAAGTGCATCTAGAACACTTAGTTGAGAGCACGCAATAAGCTAATATGCGATTAGCAATAAGCTTGAAATGCGAGGAAGAAGAAGAAGAAGAAGCATTGTACTAGATATAATTATATGAGCACAACGCTCTAGCAGACGGTTTTAGACAGGCAAAAATACCACCGCTTGAATGGTCTTTAGATGTAGTTTAAAAAAAATGCTATCAAACTCAAATACATGGTACTATTAATAAGACCTTTAAACCACTGTGCTTTTTGCAAACAAGTTTGAAATGATTTTCTTCCATGCTTTGCTGTATGTCTCTGCATAGAATCTCTGTTTGAAAGCTGAATCCAATATCTCTGTTTCCCTTCAACAGACAGTTTCTAAACAATAGTTTTGCAACAATATGTTTGCGCATTGCATAAAGGTAAGCTATGCGATATGTTGCCCATTAGCAGTTGTAAAATAAATAGCATTACATCCTTTAAAAAAGCAACAGACCAATTCTGAGAGCAAATCTCATTTCGCAAATACGGAAACAACAGTTCAAATCCATAAAAACCATCCACATTGATGCGTTGGACGTTGGCGGTGCAAATTATGATTTGAAACACGACCCATTTATAAGCATTACAAACAGTCCTCGTTCGTTTGTTACTTCGATGCGCTTGAGTGCTCAGAACATTCATGCAAATTATTATGGTGAAATGAGGCAATTTAGCAATTGTTACATAATTCAGGCGCGCAGAGTTTATACAAACACCCGTCCGCTGTGGCGGCGACAGTGGAGAGTGAAGAATTTAAATTAGTACTTTATTGCTGAATTGAAAGAACAGAGCAATCCTGAAGAATGAGAACAATGTTATGTCGTTTATTTTCACGCAGGAGGATGGCGCAGGTTGAGTAGGGCGAATACCTCAATCCTTGGCGACGGATGCAGTTTTTAACGATAATCGTAATTGCGCTTTGGTGTGTACATGTTTTCCCGAGCAAAGGCACGTCAAATGAATGTTCGTTAAAAATAAGTTTCATTCATTCATAAACTTCCCCCGGGTTTGAAGTGAATGTTTAAATTGAATCTTCTTTGCACACTGGCAGTCATTAGAACCATGCGATACACTATCATCATCATGATTATTATTGCTCTCGTATGATCGTTAAATAGACACATTGTAAGCGTAATTACATTCAATTGCAGACAATGGAATTTCTGAATGAAGCGGTGAATTTTCTTAAAGATCTTTCACCAGATTCGTAGCGATTATTTTCTCGCACGCTACTTTTCGTTATGCCACTTGCTTTTGATTTCGCCGAACCACACCCCATTAAACGAAATTCACTTCACTAGTTGCGATGCTACTGAATGGCTACTAAAATCATCGTTTGAAAAGTAATGGACAGATCATCATTTCGCCTGTTTAAGATTGTGTGTGTGTGTTGAATAAATATGTCATCCTAGTGTTACATTTCAAACGTTCACGGTCTATAACAGTTGACAAAATCTGGCTGATGTCAGTCAGTAATTTTCAAACGAACGCTCTCTTTAGGGTGGTTCCACGATGTTGATAGAATAAATGAAGAAATATCTCAACACAGTGAATTGGAGCTTCCAACATGTGCAAATCTCGACAACCTCACTCACACACAGGTGCCACCGTATAGGTGGCTGGGGCCCCATTGAATTTTTATTGTTCAATAAAATGGTCTATTTTTATGTGCTTATTTAAAACATTTCTACGACTAATTAAAATGATAAATATTGTAATTCCGTTTGCGCGCGTCTGGCTGCTGCTTTGCTCACCCTTGACTCGCAGCAAAGATCAGTTGACCGATAGACACCAAAGCATGTGTGCGAGCGAGTGAGGTACACTTTCTTCTCGGTCTCAGTGGCGTGAATCTGCCAGCGAAATAACTAAAAATTATGATAATTATACATTAAATTTGTAATCAAAGCCATTCTGTCTGCTCCATTATATCATCTTAGGCGTGTGCTTTATTCATTATCTTAACAGGGTAGAATTCAGGTTCATATTTCTCCAAATGAAAGGTAGCGCAGGTTTGATTGCATGGAATGTAAAAACCCTCGGGGAGGTGTGCTCCGATTCCAGCTGATGTTATGATTATTTTTATGGAGTGTCTATATAGACAGCCATTCGGAGCGACCCCCAAAAGTGCCAAGCTTATGCACACAAATACACGCGTTCTGCTTGTTACGACAGCAATGGCAGTTGAGCAAAATAAAAAAGCGTATAAATGCGGTTAGGAATTTGATACAGTCAAGGCCATTTGCGAGCCACTCATTTGAATACGAACGAATCCCTTTTGTGACGTTTTACTGACACGGCCATGGAAAGGATCGTTTCCAGAGAGCAGCAGGCCGATTTAGTCGCTTATCTTGTGTTGGAAAAAGGTGATACCCGTCTCTCCCTACGCTATCTCAGATGGCGTTTGTTTTATTTCCTCGGAATATTTTTATAGAAGCGATTTTCCCCCATTTCCCAGTTTCCATGGTAACCCTCCCAGTCAGTCGGAGTCATTATAGCGGCTACTGCGCCTTTGCTCTCGATTGAAAGGTTTCTTTGTTCTTGTCGCCTCTGCTTCAATATGATGCTGGACCAGGGCTGGGGGTATCGGAATTAATGAAAATTTTAAGAAATGGCCTTCGATGCCCTTAAAATTAAGAAAGAAAGCTCGAAAAGTGTTCAATTTCCGTAAGTTTAGAGCCGCTTTGTTGTCTCTCGTACTTGTCTGGGCCTCGCGTGGCAGGCATCCTTTTTTTTTTGAAGCGCCGCAAAGCTATACCAATATTAAAATCAAAATCACCATAAATATGGGAATTAAAATTCTATCCCCTCTCCTCGCATGCAGAAAGGCGAAATTTAGGAAATAAATTTGAATAAATTAAGCTTAACTTTCAATCTTCCAGCGGAGGCTTCTTCCTGGTGTTTGGCCAACCAATTTCGGAATCTTGGAAGGGGACCAAAGATACTGATGCTACACATACCCACGGGGTGAATCGTTTGGCGTGGATACGTGAATGGAATAAAACATGTTCCAAGGTACCAAGAGCGCATGTAATATTCAACACATCCCTCTCGAAGCAAACACACAATATGATAATGTAGCCACCCCTGCGCTTAACAGTGAATGCGAAGCTCTCACTTTGCAGTCGTTATCACCCCATCCAGGAATGGAAACGGTCTCTGACAGGGTGGTTCGCCCTCACCCTACGGCGTACACTTGACTGTGGCGATATGGAAAAATTAGAAATGCGCATAATTTATTGCTCCAAACTTGCCCTTCGCCCCCGACATTTAGGGGGTGAGAATCCACCATTTTGTATGTATCAGTGTCAATTAAGTTTAAAATTTCAATACCAAAAAAAATTGTTAGATTGCAAAGCACCTTACACCATTTGCAAAGCTAGGAAATTAGAATGGAAACGATTGTTCGGTAAAATGGACTCACAAGAGAGGGTAACACTAACCTGTACTGGCAAATTTTTGTAGCGCGGATTGAGATGCTGTGGATGCGTTGAAATGTTGACAACAGGAGAAAAAGGTGCATGTAGGGGAAGAAAGTAAAACAGTTATTAAGACATTTATTCACAGTATAACATTATGTCGTACTATTTATTCAGTTTGTCTAGTTGTTGACATAAGTATCACAAAAGCCGTAACAGAAGAAAATGCGCAATGCTTAATGAATCAACAAATAAAAAAAAGACGTTGAAAATTAGTTCTGTATTTAAAAATTCATACCATTCTTCAACAAAACTCGTCTTGGCCATCATAACAAGCCATTTTTCTAGGAATACATTAACCGACCACCCAATGGGAACGATGTGAACATACTAGAAATAATTTTTCTCTAGACTAGTACAAGCTTGGACATTGCGAAACAGGTGATGCGTGAGAAGTTCGCTGCAGGGGAGAGAAAAGAAAGCACCGACTCACGTCCAAACATGGAGCAGATTTACATGAAGAACAGCTAGCATTTGCTGTGCCGATTTTGTTCCCTTTCTCTGTCTCCAGCTAGCTCCAGACGGCAATGGATTGTTTATAATGCCATCAACAATAATTCATAAAACTCATATCTGCACGCAAAGTACAGCCGGCACGCGATCAGGCGTGGGTCTAATTTCCTCTCACACTTCAGTGTGACGGTTTGCTGACGTATTGCTTGCTATGGTTATGGGTTCACTTCCTATCAGTGTGATAACAAACGTGATTAGAACGGAAACGGCTTCTAAACCGCTCCGTCCTATGCTTGTTGAATAGGTTGCTTTTGAGGTTTGTTTCATAAATTATAAAATTCTACTGCATTTTGCGTGAATCCAACATGCAATCAAAACGAAGTACGGTGACGATCGGCTTCGGGCCACCGAGATTCTTTTTCATGCACAGGTTTTTTTTTCTCAAGATAATTTATCGAGAACTTATTCAAAAGATGCTCTAAGGTGTGATATATAATGCCGCTAAAAATGAGTGTTGAAAGTTATTGTTTGCCCTATGTATGATTAAATAGGCGTCATTTGAAAATTTATCAGACTTGTATCTAATGAAATCATATATTTTGGTATACAAATGTTTGGCGAGACATCTTTTTACAGCAGTTTAGCTTTTCACTATCAGTGAGCGTTAATTAAGTTGTTAACATTTTCCAAGACTCAATTTGCAAATCCTTCAGCAAATAGCACACTTGTGTCAGATAAACTTAAAGTAACCTAATTGTGACTGAACTCAGTCAAGCAAGAGTAACTGAGTAATTTTACAATAAATTGATAGTGAAGTATCGTGATCAAAGGAAATAAGGATCATATTTTATCGAAAATTTCGACAAAGAACTCTTTAGGAAAGATGCATTGGGAAACAAATAAAAAATTAATTACTTTCCTTATTGGGTTTTTCTATCCATATATATTTTTTGATATTCTAGCTTATTTATATTCCAATTTGGATCACCCTTAACTCAGAACGCCATGATTAAAACATACAAAGTTTTGATTTGTTGTGAAATGAATCAGCCTAACAAACAGCTAGCCAATGTATTTTAAACGAACTCACTAATTGAATTTCGGAAATTGGATCTCGAATCTGAGCATTTTGGCGATAACATAAATGTATGAACACGACTAAATGAAGTAAATTGATTCCTATAAACTTAAAAATATGTATCCAAAATGTATAGACAAACTACAACTCAACAAAAACTGACAAATTCAAGATTGCATCATGAAATGCTGCAGTATTTTTTTATCACTTCTTTGACAGTTGGATTTTCTAATTTGAATGAAATATAGTTTTGTGTAGTAAAGGGAATTTTTTTTTCAATCAAAAGCTTAATTAAATTGTTATTGAACTTCTTCTGATAAATTTGTTAGACTCCGAAAATAATATATCTAATAGGTCAAAATATGTGGCAATTCAGTTGACTTAATTGAATCCCACACACTAAGAATTTGTTTCCGTGTTCGGTAAATTTTACCGAAATCAGAACAGCTGAACATTCGGTAAAACTTTGACCTTCATTTTAAAGGCTATCGAAATTGAAAATAATATCAAAACATGTTCAACCTTGCTTAAATGATCATATCTTGTCATTTTAGTGGAGATTTAGTTTCAAAGTAGCTGAAAAGTAACTGAAGTGAATTGCATAAATTTTACCGAAAAATTTAACTGTTCAGATTTTGGTAAAAATTACCGAAGTTGGCGATAATTTCTAAGCTACTATTTAACGAGAAGCTGACACCGTAACTAAAAAATTCTCGATTTGATTATTCTTAAAATAATGGAAACTTATATGTTCTCGAAAAAAAAAACATACAAGATATCCTCTTAATTAAGTTTTAAGAATTCCAAGTTGACGGGATTTCATATATAATATAATTTTCATATCGTTTTTGGCTAATAAATTTATGTTGAGGTTTATTTACGTCTTAAGAAATAATTATTGTAATGAGAAAATTAATACTATTAAAGTTATTTTTATAAAAAAATAAATGAAAATCTCGCATAAAAACTGCACACCTATTACAATATTTAAAATTATGGATTAACAGCTGGCTTAAAAGAAAAACACTGCCAAGCGTAAGACTTAATGTTCCAGCAGTTCAGTTTGTTATTAATAAAGATTTAATAAACCACTTTTTCAAATATGGTAAATTTTAAGCATGATTTGATAACCTCTATAAGTTTCTCATAGTTAAAGTACATCAAAAGTCATAAAACTATTTCTGTCGATATAATAATAATTTCACACAAATTATGCAAAGATTTATAGGGTGAACATTGTTCTTCACTAAAATGTAAAACTTATGAAAGAAATCGAATGAAAATGTTTAAAGAAAATAAAATCTAGCGTTTAATTTTAAGCAAACATTTAGCAACTACTTCCAGAGAGCTTATTAAATTAATATTGCAAATTATATGGTACTTAATTAGCAACCCATAATTATGAATAGTTGAGAGTTTATTGAAACATGACTTACTTTCCGACATTGATTGATTCATTGTAAACCGTTTGAAGTCATTCGATAGCGCTGCAGCAAGAATCGTTTGGAATAGGAAGTTTTGTTCAACATTCATGAGCGTGAATTATCATTGTGTTATCTAAACAGAATACATTGCAGATGAACGATGACTATCCGGGAGGATACAATTTTCACTTCATTCATCTATACTTCATCAATTAAATACAAGACACGATTGACGGAATCCATCCACTTTGCGTTTTCAGGGGCAGTAATCTCATGATACGGAAGTCGCATTAAAATTTAACTCACTGTTTGCTTTTCTGAGTAATTTAAAAAAAACTTCGCACAATTAGTAGTATCGGAGCATAAAGTGTTTATTGTGTTGTACCTTTTGACTCTAGTTTTACGATGTTTTGAATAGATAACAAGAATCCTTGGCTCTGTAAAGTTAATTCAATTGAGCCTTATCAAAGTAGAACGTGAAATGCAGGTCCGGGAAAATGCGAAGTGGTAATACAAATTGTAGGAGAACAGAATTCAATCAATCGTGTCTTTAAAGCGAATCACCAGCAAAAATTGTTAACTACTCAGACCAAAAGCCAGAAATGAAGTAAAAAAGTTTTTTTTTTTAATTAAGTAGCTCGAGTATGTTTTCGCCGATTCGAAACAGACATAATATTTCAATCATTGTTTGAAAACGTCCATTTTGTCCACAAGTGCCCAGTAATATTCAATAAAATTTGCTGTCATCGTACTGGAATTACGAATACAACATTGTTTAAACCTGATTCAAATTTAAATAACAACTTGAGTTCGGGTGTAGAATTGTCACTTACTTTCAACAATAGTAATGCAATATATAAAGCGAGTTCATTGTTATGGGGCCATTCAATAATTACTTACGCACTAAGCTGAGGGGGGGATGAGGTGTTAGAAATGTTCATACATTTCCTTACATAGGAGAGAAGGGGGCTATCTTACGTAAGCATATACAATAGGGCGGGTCAAATTGACGCTCCTGCTCCGCAATGCTTTTAAGATGTGTATTGAGGTCCTCAACAACTGTTTAACACTCCGAACATGATGCCAACGGTAAAATGTGTAACCGAAAATTGGCAATGTTCGAAAAATCATAGCTCAGTCATGTATTGACAAATTTCTAATCTATTTAAACCATTCAAAACTACATAATTTAGAGAATAATTCGATATCAAAAGATTTAAAATCTGTTGATAAATTGCTGAGTAATGATTTTATCAAACATTGTCAATTTTCGGTTACACATTTTATCGGAGGCATCGTGTTCGGAGTGTTAATATTAAGATCTGAATTTGCGGGAGAGTTCTAAATTGTGTATAGGAAAATACATGGGAACTGGAACAAAACTCTTCAGTTGCTTGTCAAAAAATCAAAAATTGCTCAATTTTTACTAAACCTGGAATGTAAATTGAGAAAACTATGCAGAACAACTTTGTCGGGGATCGAAATTGATTCAACATCTGTACAAGAAGTTACAATTTTTTTTCAGACCGGGTGCTCCGCACATACCTATAGACGTATATAGAAGGTTGCAGGTATGTGCGAAGCACTAGGCATAAACTTAAAAATTCACAACTTATTTCAAAGTCGAATTGATTTACGGTCATCGACAAAATTGTTCTGTATAGTTTTCCCAACCTAAATCCCAGGTTTAGTAACAAAACTTGATTTTTTGGAATTTTTGACGAGCAACTGAATACTTTAGTTTTGTTTACCATACATTTTTCCATACACAGTTTAAAACTCTACCGCAAATCAAGGTCATTACCAAATTCATTCAAATTTGGCACATTTGACCCACCCTAGTGAACAAGTCATATACAGACCATTAAAATATTTGATCAAAGATCCTACAAAGGGGTGAGGGTTTTGTTAAACATTACTAAGTATTACAATGGGGCTAAGAGGGGATTGATAATCCAAAAAAAGTGCTTTCGTAATTATTGCATGACCCCAAAGTTGTGATCATATGCCGATCAGATCACATACAGAGAATTCTCAGTCAAAAACATAAGTTAACATTTCAAATAAAAAGATTTTTTGTGAGTTTATAACATGCCTACAAACATCCACAGAGGCTTACAAAACAGGTTCAAGAGCACACACTAATTTACCGGTGCTTCATTCTTCACGTATTTTCATATTTCCTATGCTTATTTGAACATGCAAGATAAAATTAGTTATATATTGTGGCCTATTTAAACAAATTGCGTAAATATTTTACAACGTATATTTGATACAAATTTGAACTTACAAAATGTGTACCACATTAATTCTGATAATTTTTCTGATAAAATTTTTCACACACCTCATGCTAATAATTAAATTTGTCAATGTCACTTTCCCCAGAATTTTACCATCTCTGGAATGAATATATCTCAGTCTTTCAGTCATTCTTCGGCAAAATTTTCCTACATAAGATTTATAATAAAAATTTATCGGATAAAGCTGACAATTTCAGTTCATTCAGCAATTAAATTTTCTACACACAGAACTAACCCAAACTTGATTTCTGGGACCTTCCTCAAACTATAATCCATTGGTTTTGAGCTACTTTATTACGGTTATTTATACACTCTTTTGAAAGCAATGCTGGGAGATCTAAATATGACGCAAACCGCTAAATAAGTTTTTGAAAGTTTTAATTAATGTAACTACCAATCCTCAATGCCTTGATTCTTTGGTATGAACAAGAACAAAATAAAAATCTGGGACACCTCATCCACGGCCCTTAAGTTATCAATATGAAATCATGTCAAATATCTACTGTCTATCGAATCACATGTTATTCTTTGACATGTTAACTGTGACAAAAGAACTGTGGTAGAATTCCCATACAAAAAACACAAATGTTGTCAAATATACTGCATTTTTAAGAAGAATTGTGTTATGAAAATCTCGTTTGACCACTGATAGTATTTTTGAAAAATAATACTATTTTCATTGATCAATAATTAACTTTTAACAAAATGTACTGCAATGGCTTTTGGTAAAACCTATTCAAAATATGAAAATCTTCTGCTTAAAATGTACCATGCGTGTCAGAACAATAGAACCAGCCTATGTCATACCGTCACTAAAACCGGTGTATCTCTTCAAACAGTTCTACACTACTTTAATAATGATCTTCCGATATTTGGATTATTTTGTAATACTGGACATCTTTCATTTAACTAACTGTTTCTCTTCGTGTTGTCAATATATTTACACCAAAATTTTACGAACATTCATTAGCAAAATCTCTAAGTTGGACAATTGTTAATTCACACAATTATTTATTTTAAATACACCGAAAATTAACCAATGTTTCAATTATTTACTATTAGATACTTTTTCCTGAACGATTCAAATTTGTCAATGTTTGCTTTAAGATTAATTAATGTTCGACAAACATAAAAGAATGAATGACAAAACAATTTTAGGTGTCTCGATTGATGTACAAAAATCTGAAAAGTAGTAGTTTTTATAATTTTTCAAATATAACAATTTTGTCAACCAATTCGTGTGAAATTTTATGATTCTATTTATCAGTGTTTTGATCATTTATGGGCAATTTTTGTGAATCAACATCATAAAGACAAACGACTTATTCAGCGAGGAATATATTCGTCATTATTTCAGGAGTTTTATATCGAAATGACGTGTTAGGAATTAGGAACGATGTAATTTCAGTTATTTCACATGTCCTGAAAGTTTAATAATGATTGGTTAGAAACCAACAGACATACAATGTTTATAATATGATGATGATGGACTAGCCAGTTGGCTTAAAGGCACCGTAAAGATTTACGGTGCCTCTATAGTTGAGACACCCACTGAATATCCCAGAGGTGCTAATATTTTCCTCGAAATTCAACCTCCTTAATTACTACCATCCTTCGTCACATTTGCATAGGCTCAAACACTTTAAACTTCATCTGTTTTGTATGCAGTTGGCCACATGCCTGACCTCAACCGAACCATGAATGTGCGTTAAAATTTATATTACTAATTATCACAAACCGGCCGCCAAACGGCAACCGAAGTAGATCTGAGACCACGCGTCAAGCAACCATTTTGAATGAATGGTGCAGAGCACACCTTTACTTATGCGTGTTTTCCCATCGTAACGATGCAGCCCCTACGCTATATTGTTGCTATTTTCGGCCAAAAGGCTCGACGACTTTCCGCTTCGGTCGCGTATTCATGGGGCGATGATAAGGGTAATCTTAATCTTTTAAAAGCAAGAAACGACTTCGAGCAGCATACATCGAAGAGTGAAAAGCTGAACAGAAGAATATAAGCCAACAAGCTAACAATAAAATGCTCTACTGGTGTAGGGTGAAACTTACCAGTCACTAGCCAGGGATGGCGGGTTATGTCCGGCAGACCGGACTGACCCCCGCCGACGGATGACGAAAGTTGTGAGCAGGCTGAACCTAGTGAATCCACACCAACACCGGCGGATGCTGCCGATACGGCAGCTGCTTGTTGGTAGAATTGTGCAATACTGGCACTTCCAGGAACTCCCATCGGTGGATAGCTATTCATTACGCTGTCCGTGTATCTACTGCTGGTGGAGGAGAGGAAAGGAGAACGAGAAACCGACACATTTTAGAACAGTTAGTCACATGGTGTTCAATCCGGTCACAAGGATCAAAGTTTGGAATTGAAATTACCTGCACGATTTGTCGTCAAGCCCCGAAAAGCCTGGCATCGTTGAGTAGCTGGTGTGCGACGAGGGGTGGTTGGATACGAACGGATACATTTTGCTGGTCGGTGGAGAATTCGGACTACCTTCACTACCTGTTGTTAATGGACTACCTTCAGAGTTTGGGGTCTGTGACACTGTTGAATTCGAATTGGAAATGGACTGTGATGAAATCTGTGAGCTAATGAATGGTTGAAACTGTGCGTATTTAGGTAGCATACTATCGATTATAAATTTTGACATGGCCGCATTACAGGGATTCTGTCGGAAGTGTTGTTAGTGGTCAGAATCACCCTGGTAGTTTGTTAGAATTGATCGGCAATACCTCGCACAGTTTCTTAGCTCTTGGAAGCTTTAGAGCTATTAAACGAACAGATTTTTTCTCTCGGGTTAGTAGCAGTCTCTGGTCTAATGTGGGTTAGTTGAAGTCTTGAAGAAACACACCTAGAACTACAAGGTACTCACTTAAACGCCTAATGCCACTGTTTTGAATTTTGTCCACTCAGTCCAAACTTTGAGCAAACAAACTGTTCCGAGCAAATGTCGCTCTACGACCTTAATAGACCCATTCTGAACAATTCATTCAATTATCACTGGCAATGGTTTTCAATAACTTTTCTTCTTATCACTTGGCTTTCTAATCACAATTGCTAATCACAAATAGGTTGACTTATGTTATCAATTTTTCGCTCACAGTTGTTTATTCTCATTTGCCACTTTAGATGCTCCTTAATTGCCCAGTAGCACTTAAAACAGCTTCGTCTTTTGCTCACAAACACGCGGCATAACAGGTCAAGATTGATCACCTATCGCCGGGAACACTTGTCACGTACGTCGGGAACTCAGGGAAGCTTAACTGTCGGCTTTAACAAAAAGCGCTGTTCCTTCTTCCTGTAGCTCGCCTCGTGGCACTGATCCCACTACACGTTGCATAAAATGTCACCGCAAAAAAAAATGAAAACAAAGCAGTGGTAGATATTTTTTTATTGTTTGTTGTTTTTTCGTAACCTCCTTCGATTCTCTATCAAATTGTTTTATTCATTTTTTATCTTTGGACTAATGTTGATTTTTATTACTGCTTTATTTTTATAGATATTATTTTGAATTTTCTTCTCTTGGTTGTTATTTTTACTGTTATTAATATTATAATAATAAAAATTCGATCGTAGAAGTCCGAAGTTGTTTACGTTATGACAAGTAGTTCGTTTATGACACAATACAAAAGTTTCGCATATAACAAGCAATACAAGAGGAAAAATGATATTCCCTGTGTGTTTATTTTATATTTTATATACATTAAAGCCCCGAAGCTCTCTGTATTGCCAACTATCGCCGTCCCGCTCTATTGGTGATTGGCCTCTTCGCACCGCTGTCTTGGCCTTTGGCCTCTCACTCATACGCGAATCTCTCACTCTCTTCCGCAAGTCCCGAGAAAATCAACGCGAAACGCGCGCGATGTTCAAGCCTTTACATGAACATCTGACTGTTGCCGTCTGAACTTGGAACGTTCTCAATTGGTACACAACTTTTCTCAATTCTAGAGATATTATCAGACTGAATGACCACGATCACGATTTACCGGTTACGATCACGTAAAAACCATCGAATCAATTTATTACCGATCGTTACTGTTTGAAGTGCATCAACGTGAAATCTTCGCTGCTAGACACGTACGATTTTCGAAATTTCTGCTTAATCCATGAACATCGCGAGCGCGTTTACGACCGTGATAGTGTCTGCACCTCTTCTTCGCACACACTGCGAACCGTCGACGCGGAATACCGCCAGTAGACCCATGAGCGATGAAAAACCTAGCTCATCGATCGGCGAGGTAACGCAAAATGTGCTCAATCTGAGGGGAAAAACTAGCCATCTCACTTTGGCAACTGTCTCATCGAAGACCGGCTCTCATTCCGGAGATACACATGTCGATCTTGTTTGACGTGAGCACGTTGCATTCGTACCCTGCAAAGGAATCCAGTCTCTGCTAGAGTAGGACCTATCTTGACACCACAAAGTTTCACGCTCTCTGTTCCGCAGTCAGTCTCTTGATTCTGGCCACCACAGCTCTCGTGGGGTGGTAGATGGGTCACGGTAGGGAATTTTGATTTTTCCTTCTCACTTCCCGCTTTCTGATCTCCAGTGTTGTGTGCTGTTGCACAACGCACCGAGTGGTTTGTCGTAGGTACATATTCTCATAAGAACTGGTAGTCCGGTGCGAGAGAATGGCTCGTAAATAGGAGAAAGGAAAACCGCAGCAGGAGAGAGCAGGCAATGTGAATGTTATAGGAAGCATGTAGCCGGAATGGTTCAGCTGTCTTCAAATGCTTCGGAAGATAAGAAGATTTTTTTGGGAGTTTTATGCTTTGTTTACTTGCCGCAGTGGACAGAGAATTGTGCAAAAATTCCTATGCGAAACCATTTCCAGTGGAATGCACTTTATTGCACAATTCGAACAATCGAGTTGGAAATGTGGACATTATACTAGAATGGTAGTGACCGACAGAAAGTGTTTAATTTTCTATTCGACAATCATCATGTCTGCAATCACCTCCCGAACATAATCTAAATTAAAATAATTACCCTTAACGTTGGATAAAAGTAACCAGCAAACTTAGGAATTAGCAAAGAATGGCTAGTTGCTATCATGATTGCTTGACTTATTTCATGCCATGACCATGATCATGATCATTTTAAATAGACATTGAATATATATCACAACTTAAAGAAGTATCAATCACATTTTTTCATGGAGACGCATTATACTTTGTTATAAGACATTGTTCAAAAACAATAAGTATGCAGAACATTTTGGAGGAAGAAACTGCATAGCATATTTTTAAACAATTCCAGATATCCCTAAAGGACGAGGATATGAAAAAATATTGATATTTGTGGTGTTGGATCGATGTTGGTACATTCAACGTAGTGTATTTAGCAGGATGAGAATTATTATGTGACCGTAATCACTCAACAATCGGAAAAGCAGACATTATTATGTCGAGTTCAGACTAGGGAGCTGTAACGTGTCTCAAGCGATTATTGTGATAAAAGAAAAATTTAGGTAAATGCAGCTCTTTTATCTTAATATCCAATCATGATACATAGCAATAGCTGCAGCATTTAAAAAAAAATTGCCTATTTAAAGAAAATTAAAACGTTCTAGGTAAGCTGATTTGGGGCGGAATAAGAAGCTGCGATATTTTTGTAAATATAGATTTTTGAAATTTCATATGTGTGAAACGTTATGTGTGGGAGTGCAGCTGGGCATTACCGGGTCATATAACAACAAAACATTGGAAACATATTGCTGAAATACGGAATGAGGGCTGCGAAAAATCGAAATGGTTAGAGCCACATAAATGAAGAATTTCCTAATATCCACATTTTGACAGCAAATTTTGCGGAATTTTAATCCAAATGGTATGGCTTCCGGCAGCACTTTTCTCGGTTATTACAGATTGAACTCGATTATCCGGAGGCTTGAAAACAATTTCTCTCCGGAACCATTTTTTTCGTTGCCGCTTATGAAGGAATATTAATTGCACCCACATTGAACGTTTTAAAATTATTTTCTTCCTTTTTCTGATGCTGGTCACATATGGCAATAGATGAAAAAAATCTTTTTTCAACAATGGCTGAAGACCTCCAATGGCTGAAGACAATGAAAAGACCTCCAGGTGGTCATAGATCTTCAAAAAATTGTTATTTATCTTAGACTTCAGCTTGACCACGTATCATTTTAAAAATCTTCAACTGCCCAACAATTAAAATCACATCTCCCAGATATTATTTTGAATACCAAGATGCTCAGATGATGACCCCGTAATGTGGGTAGATCACCTTTTCGTTGTACGTTACGGGATGTAAGATCTACCACCTATTCATAGTCTTGACTACTTCAAACTAGGGGAACAGGATTTTTCAATAATCAAAGGAACACATCTTAGTCCTTGTTACTTTTCAAGCCTTGTTGATAGAGATAAGTCTTCAGTTTTTTTTTTCCTTGATTTGTTTTCCGTCGATCTTGTTTTCCGTGCTGAGCACCAATGCTACCGACGCCAGGGAGGAAGCTTCCACACCTGGACCCTACCTATCGACCCATCAACTCATGAACCGGGGACCAACGGTTTTACTTCCCTTCCGAAGGCGTGATCAGAGATGTTATGCCTCAGAACATCCCGGCGGTGCCGACTGGGATTGAACCCAGGCCTGCTGGGGTGAGAGGTAATCACGCTTACCACTACACCACCGGCGCCGCTTAAGTCTTCAGGTTGCCTGGATCGAGGATGATTTTGAAACAAGGAAAAAATGAGTTAGTTAGTCTTCACCTATGTGATTCCTAATCTTCTAATCTCCATTTCTAGATCTCCAAAAAATCATCAAGATATTTGTTAAATACTTCAACTTGTTCAATCACATCTCCCCGTTATTCTTACGAATACCAAATTGCTCAGAAATCAATCCAAAGATTTATAGGTGATCATAGATCTCCAAAAAGGCCTATGATATATAATAAATATTTATTCAAGACATCAGCTTGATCAGATATCATACTGAAGATCTAAAACTGCACATAAATTCAAATTATATCTCCCAAATATCCTCTAATGATACCAGGTTGCTCAGAAATTACTCAAAAGACCTCATTCATCATTATGCATAGCTGTCAAAAAAATCTTCAAGATGTCTGTTAAAGACTGCACCTTGATCAGGTATCATTCTGAAGATCTCAAACTGTTAATCAATTCAAATCACATTTCCCATATATTCTCTCATGATACTAGGATGCCCAACAATTATTGCCAAGACCTCCAGGTGATAAAAGATCTAAAAAATTCCACTACCTAAACATTCAAATCATATCTTCCATGCATTTTTCAAGATACCATAACATCTCCCAGATATTCTCTCAAATGCCAAGTTGCCAAGTTGCAACCCTCAAGATGTTTTTGTCAAGATTTTAGATTGATCAGGTATCATTTTTAAGCTATCCAAGTATTCCATAGCGGTGCCGGTGGTGTAGTGGTAAGCGTGATTACCTCTCACCCCAGCAGGCCTGAGTTCAATCCCAGTCGGCGCCGCCGGGATGTTCTGAGGCATAACATCTCTGATCACGCCTTCCTTCGGAAGGGAAGTAAAGCCGTTGGTCCCCGGTTCATGAGTTGATGGCTCGATAGGTAGGGTCCAGGTGTGGGAGCTGCCTCCCTGGCGTCGGTAGCATTGGTGCTCAGCACGGAAAACAAGATCGACGGAAAACAAATCAAGGAAAAAAAAATAAGTTTTCCATAATCCATATCGCATCTCTCATATTTACGCGCAGCTCGACCGCGAGTACGATCGCTGCCCAAGCCACGACGTCAAGATCATCATAGGAGACCTAAACGCTCAGGTAGGCCAGGAGGAGGAATTCAGACCGACGATTGGAAAGTTCAGCGCCCACCAGCTGACGAACGGGAATGGCTTGACGGGCCACTCACCTTCTTCCAACACAGCCTCCCCTATCGTTACACCTGGAGATCACCACAGCAGACGGAATCCGAATCGACCACGTTCTGATTGATGGACGGTACTTATCGACGTCAGGACCTATCGTGGCGCTAACATCGACTCTGACTACTACCTGGTGATAATCAAACTGCGCCCAAAACTTTCCGTCATCAACAATGTACGGTACCGACACCCGCCACGGTACAACCTAGAGCGACTGAAGCAACCGGATGTCGCCTTAGCATACGCGCAGAATCTCGAGGCAGCGTTGCCAGAGGAGGGCGAGCTTGATGTGCCCCCTCTAGAGGACTGCTGGAGTACAGATAAAGCAGCCACCACCGACGCAGCCGAGAGCACCATTGGGTACGTGGAAAGAAGTCGACGGAATGAATGGTTCGACGAGGAGTGCAGAGCGATTTTGGAGGAGAAGAACGCAGCGCGGGTGGTAATGCTGCAGCATGGAACCCGACAGAACGTGGAACGGTATAAACAGAAGCGGAAACAGCAGACCCGCATCTTTCGGGAGAAAAAACGCCACCTGGAAGAAGCGGAGTGCGAGGAAATGGAACTGCTGTGCCATTCCCAAGAAACACGGAAGTTCTACTAGAAGCTCAACGCATCCCGCAACGGCTTCGTGCCGCGAGCCGAAATGTGCAAGGATAAGAACGGGAGCTTCTTGACGGACGGACGTGAGGTGATTGAAAGGTGGAAGCAGCACTGCGATGCACACCTGAATGGCGAGGAGAACGTAGGCACGGGAGACCAGTGCAATGGAGGAAACGACTACGTCAGTGCAGCAGAGCACGGAACTGACCCAACTCCCACGCTGAGGGAAGTAAAGTATGCCATTCAGCAGCTCAAAAACAACAAAGCAGCTGGTAAGGATGGTATTGCAGCCGAACTCATCAAGATGGGCCAAGAAAAGTTGGCCACCTGCTTGCCCCGGATGATAGTCAGGATCTGGGAAACAGAACAGCTACCGGAGGAGTGGAAGGAGGGGGTAATCTGCCCCATTCACAAGAAAGGCGACCATTTGGAATGTGAGACCTTCAGAGCGTTCACCATTTTGAATGCCGCCTACAAAGTGCTATCCCAGATCATCTTCCGTCGTCTATCACTTAAAATGACCGAGTTTGTGGGAAGTTATCAAGCCGGCTTCATTGACGGCCGATCGACAACGGACCAGATCTTCACCGTACGGCAATACCAGGTCCCAACGCATCATTTGTTCATCGACTTTAAGGCGGCATACGACAGTATCGACCGCACAGAGCTATGG